CCTAGAAAGACTGAAAAACTTACCAAAGAGACAGTTAATAATTATGAAGGTATACAGTAACCTGTGTAATATTCAGCCTCTTAATGTGATTTATATACACATAGACATGGAGAGAGATCTATTGTCAATGAAGCAACAGTTAGCTGAGAAGGAGAAACAAGTACAAGAACTAATGAAAGAGAGAGACCAACCGGGTACCTCAACTGATAATTTGTACATTAAGTCACTCATCCTTTTGTTAATTTGAACAGTCATTATTGTTTAATGTTTATGCTATACTATACTTATATATTAAATTGTACAGATGATATGGATAAGCTAAAAATAAATCTTGTGACAAAAATTCAGGAAATTGATCATTTAAAGGTTTCTATTAAAGAGAAAGATGATGGTAATGTTTACTTTAGTAGCTTTGTTTTATTCATTAAAATACAGAGTCAGATTCTAAGATTCAGGAATCACAAAGTATGATCCATGAAGAAGAAGAAGGTAACTTATTTAAATATTAATGATAAGGTTTCATTTTTTATTGTTACAGAAGCCAAGGAAAAAATAGAAGAACTTGAGAGATCATTATTATTAGCATCAAGTATGTACATGTACACATTAATCTAAATACAAGCCAATGGTCACTATACAGATGAAAGAAGTGAACTGAAAAGGAATCTCGAGACAAAAGATCAGAAAATTAATGACTTAAAGGTGTCTGCTCAAGAGAAAGATGAAGGTAGAGAATATTAATGATAAAGTTTTATTTTTTATTGTTATACTTACATACAGAAATAAAAGGTGCCAAGGAAAGAGTAGAAGAACTGGAGAGGTCTTTATCATTAGCATCAGGTATAATTGTAGACTCAAACTAACATAGTCAGTCTATACATGCATATTGCAGCTGATATAAACAAGCTGAAAAGAAGCCTTGAGACAAAAGATCAGGAAATTGATGATTTAAAGGTTTCTATCAAAGAGAAAGACAATGGTAGAGTTTGGTTTTGTAGCTTATTTTTATCATCAATTCATTAAAAATATAGAGTCAGATTTAAAGATTCAGGAATTACAAAATTCAATCTATGGAAAAGGTAATAAATTTAGATAAAAACCTTTCTTATTTATATTGCTAATAAAGAATTATTGTCCAGTCAACAAATGCTTAAAAGGAAAGAGAAAGAAGCTAATAAACTTAGTGAAGGAATTACTGGTATGTGTTAACATGCATCATCAATCTAATTAAATGCACTCTATAGCTAAAGAACAAGAGGTAGCTTCATTCAAAGAATTCTCTGAAAAACAAGTACAAGAAACAATGGCAATGAAATCAAAAATAGCTGACAATCAACGAGATATTGGTATGTTTCCTCTTTTGATAATCATACATAATTACATCAATTTTTATAGCTGAGAAAGAATCAATGATAAAGTCAACAAATGAAGGTAACGGTAATGTTGATTCACTAATAGCCAATAATACTAAACATATACTAGAATTATCATCCATGAGACAACTGCTATCTGAAGCACAAGAAGAACTTAAATTGCAAAAAAGTAAGCAAATGTGCAAAGGATATGATACATATGATTTTAACAGAGTCTATTGATGAGTTGGAAGAGAAATTAAGGACACAATATAGAATTAGTAGAATGAAGGATATAGAAATTGAAGGTTTAAAGGCTAGGCTTCACCAAAGAAAAGAACAAGACATGACCAATGGCACAAGTGAGTTACATGTTACTTTACTGGTTTGCAGTTATCATCATGGCAAGAGTACTAGTATAATGTGCATGCACACAGAAGTTCAAAGCAGTTATTTATCATTTATATCTTTTGTTTGTAACAGAGTGGGGTAAATATGAAGTGCGTCTTACTTCTCCATCAGCAGAGGAGTGTACAAATGTCCTAGCAAAAATAGATGACAATCATCGACACATTTACCTCAGTAATTCATCTTCTGATGTTGCTCAGTTGTTAATAGTACCTCTACTGCAGAAGAGAAGCATTACCAGTTTATATATTCTCTCAACTCCATTAACACATGACTTCATTGACCTTTTCTCATCTCAAATGTTAGATGACAATACATTGGAGAGTCTGTACCTCAATCACAATTCCATTGATGATGTTGGGGTCATTACTCTAGTGAAGTCTCTAAAACATAACAAAAAGCTCCTGTACTTATCTCTGGACTTCAATACTGAGATTACTTCACTCAGTGTTCCATCACTTGCTGAATTTATACGCATCAACTCCACATTGTCTGTTCTTTATGTTGCTAGCACTAGCATTGATAATAAGGGAGTGCTGGATCTGGCTGATTCTCTCAAGTTTAACACAAAACTTGGAAAGATTGTGGTAGACCAGAAACATAAAGCAATATGTTCTCAATTTGTTGGTAAAACCAACAGACTAGACTTTTCCTATACAACTGCTACTGCTTATGAATATACTGGCGTAAATTTAGGTGGGCTGTTTGTTTAATGTGATCACACAATACAAGAATACACCTTAATTTATAAATTATTGGTTTGTGAATTGGTTTGCTGTGCATGCAATTTGCAGGAAAAGGAGGGGCTGAAATGCTTGGGGCCGGGGAGGTGTGGCCATCTCAGATCTCATGCTCAGCTGCAGCATAGATAATAGAGTAAATGAAAGGGATTGGCAACGGGGCGTAGCAACAGGAAATGCGGGTTGGGTTACCACGTGACAACCATGAGTGTTTTGATTGATTTCCCATCTCCTCCATTGGTGAAGTTGCTCTGGCAGGATTTCGAAGGAAATTTGTGCTGCTCCAGGATAGCGCTTGCTTTTGATATATAGCCTATTCCACATAGAATTTTTAGAGCTACCTGTAGCAAGGTTTTTATCTCCAAAAAGCCATTTTGCAACCAGTTAGAGGTACACAAAGTCGCCTGTTTTTGAAACACTTTATCGTTCGTAAAACACTCAAGCTTCATTG